TTTTTCTTTGTATTTAATTTTTGACAGTTTGATTAAAATGTGTCTTGGCATGTTTCTCCTTGGATTTATCCTGTATGGGACTCTCTGTGCTTCCTGGAGTTGATTGACTATTTCCTTTCCCATATCAGGGAAGTTTTCAACTATAATCTCTTCAAATATTTTCCCAGTCCCTTTCTTTTTGTTTTCTTCATCTGCGACCCCTATAATTCAAATGTTGGTGCATTTAATGTTGTCCCAGAGGTCTCTAAGACTGTCCTGAATTCTTTAATTTTTTAAAATTTATTCTGCTCTGCAGTAGTTATTTCCACTATTTTATCTTCCAGGTCACTTATCTGTTCTTCTGCCTCAGTTATTCTGCTACTGATTCCTTCTAGAGAATTTTTAATTTCATTATTGTGTTGTTCATCATTGTTTGTTTGCTCTTTAGTTCTAGGTCCTTGTTAAACGTTTCTTGTACTTTCTCCATTGTATTTCCAAGATTTTGGATCATCTTTACTATCATTTTTCTGAAATCTTTTTCAGGCAGACTGCCTATTTCCTCTTCATTTGTTTGGTCTGGTGGGTTTTTACTTTGCTCCTTCATCTGCTGTGTGTTTGTCTTCTCATTTTGCTTAACTTACTGAGTTTGGGGTCTCCCTTTCGCAGGCTGCAGGTTCATAGTTCCCGTTGTTTTTGGTGTCTGCCCCTAGTGGCTAAGGTTGGTTCAGTGTGTTTTGTAGGCTTCCTGGTGGAGGGGACTAGTGCCTGTGTTCTGGTGGATGAAGCTGGATCTTGTCTTTCTGGTGGGCAGGACTGGTCCAGTGGTGTGTTTTGGGGTGTCTGTGGGCTTATTATGATTTTAGGCAGCCTCTCTGCTAATGGGTGGGGTTGTGTTCCTGTCTTACTAGTTGTTTGGCATAGGGTGTCCAGCACTGTGGCTTGCTGGTTGTTGAGTGGAGTTGGGTCTTAGTGTTGAGATGGAGATCTCAGGGAGAGCTTTCGCCATTTGGTATTACGTGGAGCCAGGAGGTCCCTGGTGGACCAATGTGCTGAACTCGGCTCTCCCACCTCAGAGGCACAGGCCTGACACCTGGTTGGAGCACCAAGACCCTTTTGGGAAGTCTGAGGTCTGGTGCCAGCATTCAGTAGGTGTTCTGTAGCAGTTGTTCCACATGTAGAGGTATTTCTGATGTATTTGTGGGGAGGAAGGTGATCTCCATCTCTTACTCCTCTGCCATCTTGAAGGTCTCCCCAGGATCTCTTTTTTGTCTAGTGCTTGTTCTTTTTCATACTATACCATTCTTGTTTTGTGAATACAATATAGTTTCTTTTTTTTGAAGATATTTAGCTTTTTTTTTCCTTTCGTTCTCTGCTTGTCTGTTTCCTTTGGATTTCCCCCACCTCTTTCTAATTTGGAGTCTTTCACCAAGTGTTATTGATGGGTGGTGGTCTTCATTGCAGGCTCATTGAGTGTTTAGCCAAACTTTTCACTAGGGTCTCTTTTTTTTTTCCTATACAACCTTTTATTCAGGTGACCAAGTAGTTAATCACAGTCATAAATAATGTACAAATTAAAAATTTCTCTTACTCATGAACTTTATGGGTGAGTAAACTTTTTCTCCTTTGGGGGCTGTTGTTTTCTCTGCCTGGATTCAAGAAGTTTACAACCCTTAACAGCCTGTGTGCATTTAAATGTTTGCAGCTTCAGTGTGCTGTTTCTATCACCCTAAAGAAAACACACACAGTTCTTTCCACTGAGGAGGTGGTAAGGGGACACATTTTTTGTGACCCAGAGCCCTGACTTTTGAACCTGATGCTGAAGATCCCGTGTTGTGTCTGCAGCGCTGATGACTCGGAACATTTCAGTGAAGCACTGTTCCTGGTTTATTTTACTGTTTTTTTTCTCTTTGTGGAGCTGGTTTCTATCATCCAGGTTACTGGACACAGGGGGTTGTGGCTGGGTGGCTGAGACTGGTTAAGGGGTCCCCAAACTAGGGTCTTTTAATTGTATTTGGAGGCAAAAGTGTGGTAAAATTATCATCTGCAGTAACATGGAAGACAGAAATGTACCTAATACCCTCATGGCATTGGTGAGAGTTTGAGGCAGAATTTTGAAAGAATAAGCTGGCTGCTATTCACTGCAATTTATAAGGTACTCTAAGACAAGCTCAAAAATAAGGAAGTGGTAATGTAAATATTATTGAGAGGGAATATAGAGCCTAGATTGGAAAATGAAATTGTTTTTCACCAAATCAAATGTTTGATCATTAAATATAACCTTAGGACAAAGAACAAATCCAGGGTATTGCCATTATGATGGCCTCAAGTAAAAGACCAAGCAAGGTCTAACTATACACTTATTTTGTACAACCTCTGAAGGAATTAAAGAGATGCCTTTCAGCTAAATCAAAGGGCTACTAGAAAGATTAAGGAAATTAGAAAAGCGGTATGTTCAATACATATACATTTCTACAAACTAAGCCATGAGTACTTTGAACATCTCGGGCCGAACTAGTTAGTGAATGTTTCTCTAATTCTCTTATGCTGGTCTTCCAGACCTTTATTTCCCCAGCAACTCCCAAATTTGGGTGAACCCCAATTCCTTTATTAAAGCTCTTCATTCATGTAATACTTTAATGAATCTGCTTTCCTCACCAAATACAGACTAAACCACCTGGCTTCTCTAGAAAAGAGAGGCTCAGGCAAAAATTAAATCTATTACTTTATTAGCAGGGGCAATCTAGGCTGGTGAGAGTAAGGGAGTAAGGCTAGCAGAGATTGGGAGCAAATGCAAACTGATAAATTACTGTATAGCATTTGGTTTCTGTTTCATGAAAAGCCATGAAGAGACACTGCTGATAATTTGGCAAGTACAGTTGTTTAGCTACATGGTACCTCTCTGGGCAGGAGGGTGAAAAACTATGCCTCAGGATAGTCCATGAGAAGGGAGAGGAATTTGTCCAATGGCTTCTTCTAGTCCATTGATCCAAGTTTTCCAGACAGTTAACTTCACTGCTCTTCCAGATTGCATCATCTAGCCCTTTTGACAATCACTGGGGAAACCCTGTGGCATGATGCTTCCTTGAGTCCAGAAGTGTTGGGATGGGCCAGAGATTCTGAGCACGTGGCTAGTTGACCTCAGGCAGAAGAATCACTCCAGCCTGCTAGTAGTGTGTCACTATGTAGGGTGGTAGCTATGGCAAAGTGGCTGGTGGCCTAGGAAACAGTGGGGCCAAGAATGTGAGAAGGCACTTGAGGAAGGTGTGTCTGATACCATATCCAAAGATGAGATATATATGGGCACAATAATGCTGTATAATAATAGCTATAAGGCTTCAGAAGCATAACAATGGACTTCCCTTGCTCACAAATCTGGAATCAGATAGGTGTCAGTTAGGTGGTTCTGCTGATCTTGGCTGAGATGGTTCACATACTTGGGGCTTGACTGGCTATCAGCCAATCGAAGACAGGATTCAGCTAGGGTGACCAGGGTAACCTGGCTCTGCTTCATGCATGTCTCACCCTCAAGGAGGTTAACCCAGACATGTATGTGTTTATGGTGACAGCAGTAGCACAAGAGTAAGTAGCAATACACCAGATGTTTGGAAATACATATGGCCCAGAAAGTACTTGAGAATGTACTTCAAAGGAGCATGAAAAAAAGAATACAGGGAGGAGTAAAAAACTAGTGTCATTTTTACAGTCTTTCATACCAAAGAAAAACAAGACAAGTACAGACAATTCATTGTTCAAACAGGTATTATTATTACTTGGGGGGAAAAACTTAAGATTTTTCTGGCCTTAGGTATAAATTAGGCTCTTATGGAGTATATGGGTTATCTTTCTTAAGACAGCTGTAAGGTAGGGGCAAATGAGTTCTTTTTTCCCCCCTTCTCCCTTTTAACAATTATATTTTGTTGGTTTGGAGAGCCAGTTAAATGGCAATAGATTTTGGCTCAGGAAAGTTCAAATTTAGCCCAGAGGAATCCAACTTTGGCCCTGCTTAAATCAATTCAGGCCTTCTTCTGTTCCTAAGGTCAAGTTCTAAACATGAAGAAATCCATTTTAATTCCATTCTTGAAAAATAACTGCTAGCCAGTTATTGCCTATTAACTAATAGGCAAGTCAGCTAGTTTATCTGGCTAAGAGTATGGGACTAATAATATTCAAACCTTATATAATCCATATTCCTTTTAATGAAAAGCATAATATAATGGTGACCTCACTGAACCGAATCAGAAGTCCTAGATTCTAGATAAGGTTCTACCACTAATTAGTTGTGTGACCTTATAGGCAAGTTACTTAATCTCTTTAGGCCTCAACTGCCACATATATATTAATCAGGGACTGCTCTAAAGTACAATGTTTCAAATGTTCTATTTCCACAGTATATTAGCAGGTATTACTTATTCAAATAAGTTTAAGAAATACTAACTTAAATAAAGTTCAAAATGTTTATTTCAGGACTTTTCAGCACTTTCATTTTGTGCCTTTTGAATCTCTAACAGGGGAATATAAGGTGCAGCAAACAAATTTTACCAATTACTCATTTATTCATAAAAACACATGTCCCACTGAGTATACTTTGGGAAATGTACTGTTATTTCTAGCACCCACATGGGTGAAATTTAACAGTCAGTGTCCCAGAAAGAGGGCAACTTCAAATGGGAACATTTGAGAAAAATATAATAAAATTACTATTTACAAAGGTATAGGCAGGGTTTACGAAAACCAGCAAGGTATAATGACCTACTCTGGGGCTATTAATACCCTGGACTCATCACAATATAAGTGAAAAGGGGTAAACGGAGGGAGCATGGGCCTGAAGTTAACTGGAATAACTGCTGGGAAAGGGATGCCTGATAGGATGACCTTCAGTAGAAGGACACACCCAACCCATGGTGACCTGCCAGGAAAGGAGCAAGGGAAATAAATAATTTCATTTTCCTTTCAACCTTCAATCTCCTGCAGTGCTTCCATTTGCTGATCCCAAGCAAAAGCCAGTGGTCAAGGGGACCTACCTCACAGAGCAGAGAGCAGAATGGGAAAGAGTGGAGGGTGGATCCAGAGGGCAAACAGAAGCTATTCAGCACAGTAGGGTTCCATTCACAAGCAGCTAGATTAGATGATTAAATGATGTCCTCAGGACTCAGTCTTTTTATCTCTCCACTCTGCTTTCTTTTGCTGGCTTCATTCTAAGGCAAGCTCTTGCCACCTGCAGCAGAGATGTCACCAGTAGCTCTAGGATTATATACATCATGCTTATTTCACAATTTCATAAAATAATAAAAAGAGTAAACACATTTATAGCACTTAGTATATGTCAGCTGCTGTTGAAAGCCCCTTAGATACATTAATTCAGTTAAACCTCACCATAATCCTAAAATAGCTACTGTATTACCATCTCTTCAGAAATGAAGAAACTGACAAATGACTGGTAGGTGAAAAAAGAAAGCTGAGACTTAGATTTAGATAGTCTAGCTCTAGAGTCTGTGCTTTTAACCACTGCTTTTTGAAAAATAAACCCTATCTCCTAGAGCAACCATATCACTTATCAAGAAGGATGTTGGGACATGTGCTCATCCCTGGATCAATCACTAGGCACTTTGCTTGCTAAACCGGGTCATACGTCCATCCCTATGATAGGACATGATTGCTAGCAATTTCTCCCTAAAAAAGATGCCAGGCAGATGAAAAAAGCAACAAATGTCCACCACAGACAGGGTGGACTTAAGAAGAAATAGCCCTATGGGACTGGAGCTACAATTCTAGTTCTGCCCATGTTTGCCATTAACCTTAAACAAATTACTTGAGGAGACTCTGTGAGTATAGGTGGAAAGATATGAAGATATCTAAACAAATATCTAATTATATCTAATTACATATATATATAAATACAACACATTATATTAAAATATGGTAATAAAATTGAGATATGCCAAGTTGAATTTTTCAGCCAACACTATCTCTGAAAACTCCCTTAGAAATAACTTCATTTAAAAAAATATGAAGTAAAATAAATAAAACCTTATTTTTTCAAGTGGTCTTACAGACATTATACAGAAATATTTCCTAGGAATAAACAAAGCACAGTTATAATTTTATTGATTTTAGCAAAATAAAATTACATTAAATGACTTCCTAAAAACTAATGGGTAAGTTTCCTTGTTTCCTTGTCTCCAGGGCATTTGGCATTCTTTACCAACTGGTGCATAAAAGAGTAGAAAAATAAAAGATTATCATATTGTCCTTTGTATTTCTCTTTTAAAATATCAGTATGATAATCTACCAGAAAGTAGTAAATGGCTTCAATTGTGGAAAGGAAGGTATCTGGCTTTCCTTTTTGATGGCGCCAAAAGCAAGTTTTTCTTGTTTTCAACTCAACTTGTAGCAACCCTGCCAAAAACAAATAAGAGAAGTATAAATATTTCCTGTTAACCACAGGGTGTGGTACAATAATAATTTCCCTTAATTACTTTAAGGATTTTCTTTAAATTCCTTCAATCCCAATTCCAAATAGGATATTTTCTCAAATGTATTAAGGTATATACGGCAGCAATAAAAAACACAGGATGAAATCTTATCCATGACAGTTATGTATAAGTCTTGGACCTGTAGCAAATTTGTTAAAAGTAGTTAACATTTAAGATGTTCATCTCTTTCTGTCTTCTACTTGCCAGTGTCTTTTTTGACTTTAATCTGTGACAGGACTAAATTCATCAATTTTCAGAAGAGTTTCATTTCCTTGATAAACTGACATTTAAAATATTGTTCTGAAATTCACTGAGACCAGGTAGGCAGGTTAGTGGTCCTTAATACTGTTAAAACTACTTCTGGATTATCACTTTTTGGCTATTATGTTCATGAACAGAGTACCTAGAGCTGTTTCATTAGCTGTCACATCTGTGTTTCAGAGACTCAATAACGCAGTCAGCTAATGCCTTGCTCCTGTATATTTAAAGAGGAAATGACTCATGAAATCATACAATAGTACTCTCATCTCTTACAACTCAGATGTCAACATACAAACCCAGAATGCTTTTAGTACCTTAGACCAATACTCAGACTCACATTATATTTAGTTTGCAAATACTTTCTAAAAATCGTATTTTATTTTAAAGTGAGAAATAAAAATGAAGAAGGTAATATCAAAATTGGCCCACTGACCCAGATTAGGAACCTCTGAGTCATCAATGATTTCCTACTATCACGTCTCACTTTAACTTAACAGCTACCTAAGAAATGTGGCAGAGAATGACAAGAAATAAATAATATAAAAACATATCAAGATATTAAGAGATATGAAGGATCAAATATATATCTAATAGGAGTTCTGTGGGAGACAGCAAAGAGAATGGATGAGAGATAGCATTTAAAGAGATAATGCCTATGACTGTTTCAGAAACTATTTTAAAAAATGCAAAGTCACAGATACATGACATAATGTATCTCAAGGAGGATAAATACAAAGAAATCAGTGCAGAGATCCTCCTTATAGTAGTGTAACTGCAAAAGAGCAAGACTAAAGAGAATATTTTAAAAGTAGCCATTGAGAACAGATAGATCATATACAAAAGAAAGGTAATCAAAATGACAGGAGACTTTTTATTAGGAACAATAAAATATTGAAGACTCTGGAATAAAATCTTCAAAGTGCCAAGAGGAAATAACTGGCAACCTAAAATTACCTACCCAGCAGAACTATATATCAAGAACAAGAGTGAAAAATATTAATAGACAAACAAAAATATGCCAATAAACATATGCCAACTGGAGATCCAATGGAATGAATTTCTAGATGTATTTCAGAAAAAACAATCTGAGTTATAAGAATGGTGAGCAAAGAAAATGGTAAACATCTATGCAAATCCAAAGAAATGATTCCAGTATTAAAGAAAAACAATAATAATATCTAATTTGTGGTCTGAAAATAAAAGACAGAACAAAAAATAATGAAGAAAATAACAATAACTAGGAGGGGGATGAATCAAGCTTAAGTGTATTAAGGCCTTACAGTGTTCAAAAGGAGAGGTAAAAATGTTTGGCTTTGAATTTTTTTAAGTTACATGTGCATAGTACAATTCCCTAAAAGAACCAAAATAGGAATATTAAAAAATGGAATATGAAAAAGAAAAGCCAGGAAAAGAAAAAAGTAGTAAAGAGCAAGATACATAAAAATAAAATTAAGATGATAGAAATAGGTCCAAATAAATCAATACTCACAGGAAATACAAACTGATTAAACCTGCCATTTAAAAGACAATGATTATCAGACTGAACTACAATAGGGATGACCTCCACAAGCCTTCCATTCAATACTGCACTGGAGGTCTTAGTTAACACAGCAATACAAAAATAATAAATTAATTAGATGCACAAGAACTGAAAAGGAAGAAACACATCTCACATACACAGAAAATATTTTTTTACATCTATGAACAAATTATTAGAAATATCTTGGGGTAGAGAGGATTTTTAAAAGGCACAAAAGTGGTAAACATGAAAGGTGGATAAATTCTGCACTAAGAATTTCAGTTCCTCAAAAGATAAAGAAATTTAAAAGAGGAGCCACAAACTGCAAGAAGATATTTCAAACATTATTATCTATATTCTAGAATATATAACGAATTTATACAAATAAATAAGAAAAACGAAACACTAGAAAGATGGACATAGATAGTTCATAGAACAGAACGTGTGTATGGCCAAATAAGCAAACAAAATTATGCTCAGTCCAATTAGTAATTAGAGAAAGGCACATTATCAATACAATGAGATACCACTTTATACCCACTCTATTGGCAAAAAACAAACATTTGGCAAGACAATGGTAGGAGGGGTTATGATCGATGGGAACTCTTACACATTAATTATGGGAGTATAAATTTGTATACCCACAATTTGGAAAACAGGTGGCATTATCTCGGAAAACTGAACATTCTTATATGTAACAACAGAGCTATTCCGCTTCTAGGTTCGTTTCCTAGAGAAAGCTTGCACATGTGCAAGAATGTTCATAGTAGCACTGTGTGTAACAGCAAAAACTAGAAATAATTCAATTGTGTCACCAACAGGAGACAGAGTAAACTGTAGTATATTCACACAATCAGATATTACACAGCAGTGAAAACGAATAAGCTATAGCTACAAATTTAGAAACAAAATGGTAAGTTTACAATGTGAGTCCTGAAAACCACATACAGGTCAAAAAAAGCAAAACTAAATAATAATTTAATCTAAAAAGAGCAAATCTTTTTTAATTGAAGTATGCCGTATGATATTATATGTTACAACTTTCTAATACTGTGATTCACAATTTTTAAAGGTTATACTCCATTTATAGTTATTATAAAATATTGGCTATATTCCCTGTGTTTTACAATATATCCTTGTAGCTTATTTTATACTTAATAGTTTGTATCTCTTACTCCCCTACCCCTCTATTGCCCCTCCCCCCTTCCCTCTCCCCACTGGTAACCATCGGTTTGTTCTCTCTGTGAGTCTGCTTCTCTTCTGTTATATTCACTAGTTTGTTGTATTTTTTAGATTCTGCATATAAGTGATATCATACAGTATTTGTCTTTCCCTGTCTGCCTGATTTCCCTTAGCATAATGCCCTCCAAGTCCATCCATGTCACTGCAAATAGCAAAATTTCATTCTTTTTTATGGCTGAGTAGTATTCTATTCTGTGTGTATGTTTGTATGTGTTTATGTGTATATATATATATACACATACATGCCACGTATTCTTTATCCATTCATCTGTTGATGGACACTTGGGTTGCTTCCATAACTTGGCAATTGCAAATAATGCTGCTATGAACACTGGGGTGCATATGTCTTTCAATTAGTGTTTTTAGTTTTTTAAAAATATATATCCAGGAGTGGAATTGCTGGATCATATGGTAGTTCAATTTTTAGTTTTTTGAGAAACCTCCACTGTTTTCCATAGTGGCTGCACCAATTTACATTCCCACTAGCAGTGCACGAGGGTTCCCTTTTCTCCACATCCTCACCAACATTTGTTACTTGTGTTCTTTTTGATGATAGCCATTCTGACAGGTGTGAGGTGATATCTCATTGTGGTTTTGATTTGTATTTCCCTAATGATTAGCATCACTTCATGTGTCTGTTGGCCATCTGTATTCCCTCCTTGGAAAAATGTCTATTCAGTTCTTCTGTCCATTTTTTAATCAGATTATTTGCTTTTTGATGTGATGAGCTGTTTATATATGTTGGCTATCACTCCCTTATCAGTCATATCATTTGCAAATATCTTCTTCCATTCAATAGGTTGTCTTTTCATTTTGTTGATGGTTTCCTCTGTTGTACAAAACCTTATAAGTTTAATTAGGTCCCATTTATTTATTTTTGCTTTTATTTCCTTTGCTTTAGGAGATGGATCCAAAAAAATATTGCTCTGATTTATGTCAAAGAGTGTTCTGCCTATGTTTTCCTTTATTAAAGTATCTGGTCTTACATTTAAGTCTTTAATCCATTTTGAGTTTATTTTTGTATACGATGTTAGAGGATGTTCTAATTTCATTCTTTTACATGTAGCTCTCCAGTTTTCCCAGCACCACTTATGGAAGTGATGAATGCTAGTTTTAACAATTTTGACTCCTTCTCCAACAAAAAGAAACCATCCTTCCCCACTGCATTCCCCCAAGCCTTTCTGTGGTGGATCTTCAAGGATGTTATGCCATTTTTCACTTGAGGGCTTACATTTTATGATTAAATTAGGCACTCAAACTTCAAATGTTTTATTTTGACAGCAGTAAAACATCTACAGCTCTCTGTCTGTAAAGTCTGGCAAAACAGTATGTTACATTGTTAAGGGGATTCTTAATCTCAACATTCATAATAAGATAACAGAAACAAACGTTCCAATACACTACATTTGAGGGTTTAAACTGAGGTTTAGAGTTGGTTTGTTCAGTTTAATCCTATCAAATGATAAACTGTTTTAAAACCTAATGGCAATGATTTATAACAAAAAAGGGCTGTTTCTTGTGAAAGTAACTTGGCTTATCTGGAAACTGGTATTTCACATATGTAGAGATTATAAATATGCCAAGCCCTAAATATTTACTGTGGTGCAATGAGGAGCCAGAAGAGGCAGGGGGTGAAATAGGGCACACAGAGAAGACTGACTCTAGAAATCCATTTACTTCATGATTTTGAAGGGTTTAAGAAATCCCTTTTAAAATTCTGATGTAGCACAGAATTGAAATATATGATACTTTCTATGTGATCTGAGAAATAGAAATTTTTTGTACAAATGTGATTTGAAGCCTTAAGCACAACGGCTGAAAACATATTTGAATTGTACCTCAACAGTTCCTTTTACAAATTTTTCAAGTGTTATCACTTATGTTCTTCACTTGACCTTTTCAATTACCATATAAAGTAATTTAAAGAAAAGGCTCAGGAAAATCTTCAAACTGAGGAGTAACTTGCTGCTGTAACCATCCAAGGTAACGTGGCAGGCAGTACTCCAAAGAGCGGGACTTTAGGGTTTCATCTATTAAACATTAGCAACAACGCTGCAAATCTTATGCTCCGTCATCTTTCTCTGTCTCTGTCTCTCTCTCATACACACACACACACACACACACACACACACTTCTTTGTCTCTATCTCTCTGCCTATCTGTCACACACACATACACCCAAGCACACAGAATTAGAATGACAAAGCAATCTTTCTAACATGTATGCTGTTTTCAAGAGATATAAACGATATAAATTAAGTTAGGTAAATCTAGCATTGTCGCTCACTTTAGCTTGGGACTAATTATCACAGGATTCCAAAAAGTGTCATAAACTTTCTTTTCTAGAGGATGGATATTTTTAACAATTGCCTGGGAGAAGCTCTCCCGGTTTGAAACTGTTTTGGAAACTGCCTAATACCAACTGGGTAGCTCTTGTGCTTTCTAATCATACATGGTACACAAATAAAGCCATCCAAGAGCTAGAAATAAACCTAAAGTTTTTAGAGAAACTACTGAGAAAGACTGAAGAACTGAGTAAGGTGCAAGGGAACAAGACAAGTAACTTTCTTCATATTACTAGTTGTGTTATTGGGCAAGTAAAGCAACTTTTTTAAACCATTATTATTAGACACTAAGTTTTTCACTCTAAGAGAAAAACATACAAACATAAAACAAAAGAAAGTAATGTTAAATCTGAATTGGAACTATCCATGTGAACTCAAAATATATATGTATTTATTTCTTTTGGCTCTGTCCACTGAAGCAATGACATCCAAGCAGTAATAAATTTACCAGATCTTGGTTTCTAATACCATTCCCCACTAAAAGAACCACAGCTCCTTCAAGTAATTAATTCTAGGTCTGGGGCAGTAAAAAAAGTACAAGTGAACTTGGGACATCCTGTTGTAACAGAAAGACTAATTAGGCCATGCCACAAAGGACTTGAAGGGCTCCCAATAGCAAAATTTTAGACAATTTGGACATCAAAAAGAATACAATCATGATACATTATAATACACTGAACTAAAAGGAAATCCATAAGACCACAGTGATCTCAAAAAGAGAAAAAAAGAAGAGAGGGAAAAAAGAAAAGCTCTTCTTTACATAAGAATGCCAGCTAACAAATGTAGAAGAAATAATAATATTAAAATTTCATCATTTTGTAATCCTTAGGCAACAGTCATCAATAAATACTAAAACCACTCAGTAAAAAGCAGTTGGGAATAGTTCACCGTCTTAAAGCATCACCCCACAGATTACTACTAATTTCAATGAAGAAAATAACCTTTATAATGGAGAAATTTGGCAATCACCACTTTAATCAAGGAATTAAAGTTATCAGCAGTAATGGAACAACTTACATTATATCCTCCTGATCTGATGTATACAACCTGAGCTATGAATAGGTTAACCATATAATTAATCAGCCAAACAGCTTCATTTCCGAGAGTGAAAGGGGATGCTATTAATAATTATATCAAAACAATAGATATAAACTGGAATTGTCATGGACAACCCTGTATTTATCCTTATCTGAAGTATCTTTGCAAAAATATTTAAACTGAATCTAATATTGAAACATTCAGACAATTGACTTATCCTCTTCACACAAGTCTAAGTCATGAAAAACAAAAACAGGGGACTGTTCTACATTAAAAGAGACTAAAGAGACATAATAACCAAATGCAATTTGAGTTTACATGCTGCATCAGAGGAAAAGAGCTACAACAGATACTTTGGGGTTAATTAGGGAAATATGAATATGGACTGCATATGAGATATCACAGAACTTTTCTTAATTTTCTTAGAGTGATAACGGTATAGTGATTATGCAATTATTCTTAAAAGTTGTACACTTAGGTATTTAAGGGTGATGTATTGCAAAGCCTGCAACTTACTTTCAAATGGTTCAACCAAAAACATATATGATATCTAAGTACACAAACATACATATAATAGAGGAGGAAAAATAAAGCAAATGTGGCAAAATGTATGTGTATTCAATGCAACTCTTCTTGCAATAAATCTGTAGGTTTGAAGTTCTTTGAAATGAAAGTTGGGGGACAGAACAATCAAAAACATGCAACATTTTTTTTCTTACCTTGCAGTCTCTCATCAGTGAATATTTTGTTTGTTTGGTTCCAGGTGCTATCTATGAATACAATTTTTTTCAGTGTTGTGTCTTTGCACTTGCTGTCATTCAAATCCTGTTCTTCAGTTTTCTTGCGTTTAATGAATGGCTTGTCAAGGTCATCATTTTTGCCTCCAACATTATTTTGAATCTTTTCTTGGAGATGAAAAGAAATTTCTTTTATTGAAACAGAGTTAGGTCCAGGAAAAACAAGTGCAACCTAAAGCAAAGAAGCTTAAGTTAGTAGTGTGCTATTATGATCTTCAAAATTAATAAATTCTGACTTAAAACTTTAAGAGGAAAAAATATGTTGAGTATCTGAGAAACAAGCATTAGGTTCTATTATATGTGCCTCTTTAATATATATGGTAAAGTTTTTGGCTCTTCCCTAGTAATTTATAATCATAATACACTACCTAGAATTATTTTTGTACTTCAAAATAAGTTATTCACCTATTGAGAGAAGCTCAGTTAATTGTACCTTAAATCACAAAACTAAAGTCTATAATATTTCATAAGATAAAAGGCAAAGTATGGGGTACTTTGTAAAAGAACCATTGAAAAGTCCTCAATAATTAAATACCATTTTCACCTATATAATAAGCAACGATAAAACAAATGATACAGCCAATGCTGGTGAGGAAATGGTGTAATAGGCCTTTACAGCCATTACTGACATCAGGTTTAAATAGTATAACTCTTTGTGAAAGCAATTTGGCAATTTAAGTCAAGAGTCTTGAAATGTTCATACCCTTTGGTCAAATAATTTCACATATGGGAATTTATCTTAATAAAATAATTCTAAACACACACATACAATACCCAGAATATTTGTTAAAGTATACTTATTACAGTGAAAAACTAAAACTAAAGAAATCTAACTTTCAAGGAATAATTCAGTAAATTATGGCACCTCCTTTCTTTCAGCATGTTTTTACTGAGACCTTATATACTGTACTGTATATCCAAAGTATAAAAACTCCTGCCACAAAGCAGGCACCCACTAAATATCTGTTAAATGAACAAATGTTGATAGAATTACAGATGTTATCCTCCATACGTTTCTCTATTTCCCAAGTTTTCTTGAATGAAAATGTATCATTTTTAATATGAAAAAATAAATATTAAAATAAACTTTAAAATCTTGAATTTATAAACTTCGACATTATAAAAGTTTTTCAGACATTCACGATGCATGCCTACATATCCCCCATACCCAATAAGCTAAGTCCAGGGCTTTTTAGTTTTCTTGGACTATAAGCATGTCACATCTTTTTATATTGACATAGATGATAACCTAGCTGACCAGAGAAGGAAATACAAATATATTCCTAGATCCGAAACTCATATATTTTTTACAAACACAACTTTCTATAAACTCAACCAAAAAATATAAATATATTGATGGGAAAGGAAAAACTTACCAAGTTCTTCCTTGAACAAATGAATGTATTTTTAATTTTGCTTCTAAATTAACCATACCAACAAATGTTCCCCCAAGAGACCTAAAAGGGTTTATGTGCTTCTTTCAGAAGTATTCAAGCCCTAGTTTTTTGAGATCTATTGCAACATCACTTTTCAACAAGACCAGCTGTCACTAACGTGACCATTTCAACTATGCGAAAACCAATTAAGAATCTAGAAATGAGTAAGGACGGCCTCTGAGTAGCCAAAAGAAATATTACAAAGGCCATGTACTAATGCTCTTAATTTAGAGAGAATTTCTAAAAATCCTTCTACCTTAGTCTGTCTCTTCTCCTTCTGGAGAAATTCCAACAACATTTGTAATCTGGTTTCTCAGTTTGTATCAAATTAGACTATCTATGTGTAGTATAGGCAGGAGAATGGAGACGGGAGAAAAGTAAAAGCAGGCCTAGTAGTACTGGCAAAGAGTAAAAACCTGAAGAAATAATGCAAACAATAAAAAGTAGAAGGACAGACTCAAAAAAGCTCAACATCTAGGATCTTTGAAGACAATGATGAAGTAAACTGTGCGTTGTTTAGTGCTATATAAGATTTAACCCTAGATCACTAAACAAAATATTAAATTATGTTCAAGTAAGTTCAGAAAGGCAATGGGGTTTAAAATTCATTTTTTGATTCAACGTGAAAAGTTGTAAAAAAAACATAAGCTGCCTACTTCATGGTCCTTTTCTTCATATTCTGGAATACAAGGATATGTATAAATATTCACAAATTCAGGTGCTAAGAGTTTTGCATGTATAGCAGTGCTTTTGCCGTCTGTTTCATTTGGATGTTTAATGATGTCAATCTTCAATGGAAGCTAAAATTTAAAGAAAAAAGACAAATGAACAAAACAAATATAAAAATTCTAATTTTTACATTAACAAAAATCGTCTTTAAAGCTTAAATAGCAAGTTCACACTAAGATCCTATAAATACACTTATGGACTGAAAAGTCATACTTTTCTAGAACAAATACTAAGAATGGTAACAGTCATAAAGGAAACACAAATTTATTCCTCAACATTGTTAATCATGTACTAGAACAACTATTTTCAACTCATTTAACATAGAATCTTCTCTTATAGCAATGTTCCAATGTCACTTTCATTTAAATCACATTGGCACTGAGTCATATTCTTTGCATTCCAATATCTGTGCCAAGGACATTTTTTATAATTCCTATAAACTTTTAAGTCTATTAATTTTACAATATATTAAAAGGAAACATAAGTTTGGGCAAAAGCTTCAGATCTAAAACTCAAGCTAAAATTTTGTTCCTTAAACATCAGGTCAAAGGTATTATCTTTTATTTTAACATCATGATTCTCAGCATAATTAACAGCACAAGTGAAATTAATTATTAACTGGAAAAAACAGTAACAGAATGGTTCTAGGAGGTACACTCTTTAAATAAGAAATAACTCTCTTCAAAATCATTTTGCCTATTTTCCTTAAGGTTTCATTATTTAATTACTATGAACTATGTCCTGTCTCTACGCAAAAATAATATTATCTGCAAATTTCTTGAGTTAGATTTTTCTATTATTTCACTGACTTGTTTGGTTTAGTTTTCTGTATAATGCTTGTACAAGTCCTGCATTCAGCCATGATTATGAAAATAAAAGACAAGTCATATCTCCCCCCATTATATATATGAAACTCTCTGAGATGGATTCTTCACTGTAGAGTTCAAATGACTTGTTACGATAAGCACTCTTCCAGCTCCCATCCCACACTAAAAGGCAAGAATCTAGGCATTTACCCTGGGGCACATAGCTATTTTACCCTGGTTACAAAATAGTTACAAAACTATTTTTCTTGTTTTTTAAAACAGCTTTATTAAAGAGATAAAATTGATACAATAAATAAAGTGTACAATCTAATCAGTTTTAACATGTTACACCTTTGCACTCATCACCACAATGAAGATAATGAACAAATCCATCACCCCCAAAAGTCTTCCTGTGCCTCCCTCCTTCCCCTTTTCCCCATCAACTACCACCCACAGTCCTTAGACAACCATTGATCTGCTACCACTATAGGTTGGTTTTTATTTTCTAGAATTTTGTATAAATGAAATCATAAAATATGTACTCTTTTCATCTGATTTCTTTCACTTAGAATAATTACTGTGAGATTCACCCATGCTGTATCATTAACTCCAGAACTGTTTTTTAAAGGGGCAGTTGCTGTATGCTACTAGATGATCCCAACCGTACATAGTTTATCTTTCAGGATGATTATATGGAAAGAGGACAGTATATACCCTAGAAGGGTCATAAATATCCCAAATAGTTTTCAATCTAGGGTTTCAAACCCCATGTCTCCTACCCTCCCACTCAGGCCTAGTGATCATTTATAAGTTGGAGCCAATTGCTTCAAATCATCAAACCAACTTCTAGTTATAGAACATTTGCCATTTAAGTAGGCAGTTCACAAACAATTTTACATTAGTCTACCTCTGGCTGAACTCTACATCAGACTTTCCTCATGACGCTCAGTCCCAGCTGATATTACATTCCCTTTCCCCAGGGTCTCTCAGTACCAGCTCAGCATTATCTTAGCCCAGGTAAGGTAGGAAAGAGGAAAGAAGAAAAAGAAAGCAGGTCATGACAAAGTATTCTAATACTAATGAAATTGACTTTCTAATACGGCCGATGAGTAGAGCTGAAAATTCCAAAGGTAATCACCAACATTTCTGATCAGCTGGCTATCTCTGAAGGATATCATTTAAATCAAAAATGCAGGACTGGGGGATTCCCTGGTGGCGCAGTGGTTGAGAGTCCGCCTGCCGATGCAGGTGTCATGGGTTCGTGCCCTGGTCCGGGAGGATCCCACATGCCGCAGAGCGGCTGGGCCTGTGAGCCATGGCTGCTGAGCCTGCGTGTCCGGAGCCTGTGCTCCGCAACGGGAGAGGCCACAGCAGTGAGAGACCCAAGTACCGCAAAAAAAAAAACAGGACTGAATGTTATTAATGTATTTTACAAATCATGAACCTAGCTATTATGGACTAACATCTACAAGTATAAAACAATTATGCCAAATTTGTGCTCAAAAAGTATTCCTGGGTGCCAGTCCAGGTATATTTAGTTCCCCCTGAGTAAGCCTGAGAATTATACTATGAAACAAAAGCCCAGACACGGGTCAAATCATGAAAATAGGTAAATATATATTTGTGCTCTAGTTTGTACATTTTAAGGGAAGATACATCTTAAATAATGACAGGCTGCAGAGTAATACCACTAGAGTTGACCAGACTGAGTTCAGGTAGAAATGTTCTGTTTTCAAACATTTAAAGAAGATCAATCTGTTCTCTAACGTCTATGTTTTCTATAAGAGATTTACCACAAATCTTTCTGCCCAAATTTATCAAAATGCCATTAGCAGAAAAACCTAAGCCTTTTTCCATGTGATTATCAACTTTCCCAAAGAGAGTCTTTTCAATTCTAGGACTCTAATAGAGCTGAAACTTTCTTTTATCTTATGATTTTTTTTCTCCTTTTTTTAAAAAAAACCAAGAGCACCTTTTACCTTTGCTTATGCATTTGTCACGACATTTAAAAAATTATACTCTGCATTAAAAAGATACATATTTATGAATTTAATCCCTAGGCTAAAATTTATAGCTTGGGAGGTACTTACTCATTATGTAGTCATCTTCCCTTCCCAAGCAGGCTATCTAAAAGCAAATGCTAAACAATTTGTAAAAATAAAGTAGAAATTAGAAAGATAATTTTGTAGAGTCTTTATTACTACTAATAGTAACAGTATTTTAGTATTTATATTAACATATAAAATTTTATTTCTGGCAATTAAAATAAAACACTTCAGAAAATTCTGCACCATCCAGTAGGCCATTTAGAGTTGATCAAACTCTTGGCATAGTGTTTTGAGTCATTTTGATTAAATAGTGGACATTAGACCACTGATTTGAAAAATAATCCTCAATTATTAAATTCCTATGAAAACATTAGCTCTGCCAATATATTATTAACTTTTATTATTCTGATCTTCAATCCTTTTGAATATATCTTAAGATAAAACTTTTAATGGGATATTTTCTATATGTGGCTATGACATAAATAGATGAAATGATTCTGTGTATACCTCCAAAACTATACTTCAAAATGTAATATTCTTATAAGATAATGGCAACTTAAAAGAATTATTGTCCTCAGGCTCTCAGTTTTTCTGAGGTAACTGTGAAGCTGATTGGATTCCATTCTTACTTATTCTTGGCCAGTAAACTTTCCAATAGCCTATAAGAGTGATCTGAGACCCCTAAGCAGACCATGGACTTGCCAAGGTGACATGTAGGCTAAACTACAATTCAAGTAACAAAATATGAGTGTTAAAGTATTTTTCTTACTTGAAAACTTAAATGAACCTTAAAATCACCACATTAAATATCTTTAAATATAGTTACAACTTTCATGCTGGCAACTTTCTAACAGGCAGCAGTCAAATTTCATACACTATTTGATTTGCTCCTAAAGTTCGGGTCACTGTTAGGCAAGTTAACATACACATAATAAATTTTTTGATTTCGTAGACATGATGGTCTACAGACCTTTTATCTACTCAAAAATAGTCTTGGTAAGCAACAAGTATAAGGTAAGCAATCAACTCAAATCAATTTTTTAAATCTGGCTTTAAATCACAACAATTATAACACAGCCCAATGAGTAGGTCTTAGTCTTTCAATTTTAGTTTTGTTTAGTTTTGGTCACTGACATGTGCTCCATCTCCACATACAGGATGGGGCTGAACTCATGATTTTGCCTAAGCAAAAATAAACCCTAGTTCCTTCAGGATATGTTTTCTCAAAGGGCAGTCCAAGGCCCTTGAGGTAGTTTTTGAGGCTCCTTCATGTAGTCTGTAAACTTGTCTCTTGTAGTATTCAAGTTTATACCATGTTTTTTTCTATGTAGTAAATGAATTATAATCATTAATTTAAAAAAGTAACTGATTTCATTAAAAACAAGAGCATTCATCTCAGATGCAAGTGTTTTGGCAATGTGTGCCTCTTTTTCTAGAGACGAGGAAAAAAAATATAGGTTTACCAATCTACAGGATTAAACTTTCTATTAATACAATTCATTTTCATAATAATATCATTTATCAAGGTTATCAGTTATATTAGAGTAGGTATATATGAGACGTGTTTTTAAAATCTATTTTCCTACTTCCAAACAATTAAAGTTCTCACCAACCTTCACACGTGGTATCTGTTCAATAGGTACATTCTCAACTGGGACGTAACATGTATAGCAGTAGAACATTCTTGAACCACCACACTTGAGACATTTTGATCTTCCATTTTGCTGAGCTTTTTGAAGAACTTCTTGAGATGCTAAGCATAAGTTTTGAAGAGGATATTCTGCAGCTATGGATGTAGTTTGTGACTGTTGTATTTCCACAAATTTTGAATTATCTTCTTCCCTTTCTTTGAGAAATATAGGTGTATTGAGAGACATTTTTCATTCAGACCAAAGTTTAACTTTTATTTCTAAAACACATATCATAGATGCACTGAAAAAAAAAGTGGGAGACAAAATAAAAAACAGAAAACATTTTACTCACTTTCTACCAAAAAAATTACTCAATTTAATTCACAACTGTGTGCTGTTTTTAGTATTTATTAACAAACGTTAATAAGTTTTCTAAACCACTAAATTAGTATGCTTTAAAATACAAAATGAAAAAGCAATATATTCAAAACAATAAATTACCCTTTTAAGCTATTCCCTCCATAAAAATAGGAAGGCTCTTGCCTAGAAAAACTATTTCAAATATAAAGTTTAGGTATGAACGATCTATTTTTCAGTGACTATTTTTGTCCCAGAAACAGTAATTTTGTTTAATATTAGGAATGTAATGTTTTAATGTTAGTATCAGCCAGGAGAGTATTGAACCCTGTAAGCTCTGACTTCCAATTAATATTATGTGATATCAGATCTCAGTCTGAACGCTAATGAAAATCCAAGGTTCCAGTGAAATCAGTAAAATTTAGTTAATGTTCTAAAAGATGTAGTCTTCTCCAACATAAATTAAAACACATAAAAATATAACTAAACATCCATTAAAATAAGAGTCATTCATTACCAATTATAACTTGTAAAATATCCCAAAAGGTGAAATACATGACTATATATAAAGATATATGCATATATATAAAGATTAAAGTGTAATCTTATAAATGTTAAAATTTTACAGAGTAACATCAATGTTCACCCACTCTAAGAATTCACACTGCTTTTCAAAAATATATACCATTCAGATTCTTCAGTTCTAGAGGTAAAATAGTAATTTTCCCACTTAAATATTTCCTTCAAAGAAGGATGATGGCTGCCAAAACTGTTATTCAAATCTTTTGTAAGCACAATATACTTCGAGGGAGAAAAGAGACTGGGGCCCATTTGATTTGATATGCATTCCAAAGCTGTAAAATGATTCTCATATTCTAAAGCCTTATGGCATTGTGGTGTTTAACTATGAGACTCCAGGCACTTTGAGTACAAACACTGACAGGAGAAACGCTGTGACTGCAACAGAAAACTTTCTGTGCTCTCCCAAACAGAAAGTGAACAGAGTCCAGTGGAACATAATATACAACATAATTTACTAACAAGGAGTTAGTGATACTAATTTAATTAGTCATCAGGAGCTTTTTATAGACTGTAAATCCCAGGGAGCTTGAGACCCAAATAAACAAGTACAAAGAAAAAAGATGCTAGCCATTGAAGGAAAAGTAAAATATACTTGCCAAACTTACCGAAGGGGAAAGCCAAAATACAATAAATATTTTTGACGTGTACTGATTAGGTACAGGTTTACATTTTGGGTTGCTCAGAGAAAGTGATATTTGAAAATGATGATCCAACCCCTTCTTCTTGCCTCACAAATGGAAAACATTATCTGACCTCCACTCCAAATCATCTGCCTAAAAATGGCTTTTATCTTTGTCAATATGCCCTCAATGACTGAGAAAGTGCAGGACATTAAGCTGCCACCTTTTCTTGAGGCTCATATCCTTTTAACATTGCATGACAGTCTTCAACCTTATCTCTAGGAAAATGTACTTACAGACACAACATTTTGCACACAATTTCAGGTGGTTTGCAGATTTCTAGAGTCCATCTACAAATCTGGGTAAAGAAATCTTGCCTAAGATCAAAAATTCATTCTAAGGACGGGAGCAGACTTAAAAGACTGGGAAGAGATCCTATTAGTCTCCAGAAATCGGAGCTACAAATCCTTTGTTGGCCAAAAAAAGGTCAACTCTCACAAGCCAACAGAGGTCTCATCACTACACTTAAGAAGTTAATTGGTACCTAAATCCTCTTGGTTTGGGTTTGTTCTGGTGTTGCCTGAGGTTCTTAAAAACATTTTTAGGCTAAGTCTTGAGTTATCCAGGTCATGGGGCTCAACCTAAAAAAGAAATTGGAGTGGTCTAATTCAACCTGACTCCATTTCTCTGGGTATTCCAGTAGCTATGTAGGGGTTTGCATGTGCTGCCATACCAGGCCTACTGGGGAAGTATGCAGTCCCCAAGGGTGTCGTGAAAGTCAATGTGGTTGCCTGACATTCAATGAAATACTGCTGGTGAGTTTTTCTAGAGCCCCAAAGTGCACTCCTCCCAGATGCCTCAGAAATATCCCCCTGGGCTTCCCTGGTGGCGCAGTGGTTGAGAGTCCGCCTGCCGATGCAGGGGACACGGGTTCGTGCCCTGGTCCAGGAAGATCCCACATGCCGCGGAGCGGCTAGGCCCGTGAGCCATGGCCGCTGGGCCTGCGCGTCCGGAGCCTGTGCTCCGCAAAGGGAGAGGCCAAAACAGTGAGAGGCCCGCGTACCAAAAAAAAAAAAAAAAAAAAAAAAGAAAGGAAATATCCCCCTATATTTCACTTGGACTTCCATCCATATAACTAAATGAATATCAGCAAAGCCTTATATAAAATGTCCTTCCTCTACAAAAATCAGACAACAGAAATACCTTCAGACAGTGAAAGGTAAATGCCGATGGCTCCCCGCCTTGCCCCGCCTTGCCCCGCCTACACACTCTCACCTAGGGCTGAGGTGGCTACACAGAAGAGGCGGGCAGTTCCAAGTTAGGGGTGGCTCCCTCCAAAGGTCTCTAAAACCATATGACCAGGATAGCTGTCCTGACCTAATCAACAGCCTGTCTCTAATATGTACAAATCATTTGTTGCAAACATGATGATTCAAAACATACTTGTTAACATCAAATATGTGTGGGAAATACAAGTGAAGTGGTGGGGGTTACTGAGAAAACATAAAAAAACTTTATTCCTAAGAAATTAACAAATATTTTTACCTTGATGGTTCACCCATCATTCTGCAACCTGGGTTGAAAACAAATTAATTTTTTTCTCCTTCTACCCTCTTTATCCCCCAACTTAATCAAGTTGTATCAATTCTACCTTGCACATAATCCTCTATTTTTAGTCTCAAAGTCAGGATTCTAGATGGCCCATGGCCATGTAGAATCTCTTACACCTCTTTACTTTCATGCACTTATTACTAGTTTCACATACTGTACTTTAATTTGGAGTTACCTTTTAGTGAAATTATCCCTCCTAGCAGTCAACTCTCCAACAGCAGAATTCTTTACGGATCTGTCCTGTTCCTATGTCTTAGGGCAGCATGAGGAATTCAACAAATACTTGTTAACTAAATCAAAACCATTCTGAAAAAGAAGTATCCACTATGCACCTGCTACTGAAGTATCTGACAAACATTTATGGGCCATCTGCAGCATGGCAGAATTAGCAGCCTGGCAGATTTTTTTTTTTTTTTCTAAAATAAAAATGGAAAAGGCTCCTCCTAGCTACAAGTTGACTCAGTTCCCAATGGAACATTATATAAAACTCCCCTATTCTGTACTTTGGACCAATTCAGTACTAGCTAAAACCTACTTCAATTTTTTTTCCCCTATTTTTAAGAACCTGGTCACATATGTACAGGTCCAACATCCATGTTAAAAAACCCAAGGTACCAACTTTTTCATACAGGTTAACAGCACCCTCCATACACACCACCCAACATGTAGACAGACTGTCTTGCCTTAGTTTTTCATGGTACATTGGGGCTCCGACAGAAGTAATTCTTAAAATATTGTGGTTTTGAGTCAAGCAGCGATTTTATCATCCAACTTCGTGGAATTGGCAGCTTGCAGTGTTAATATACTTCCTGACTTATCCTACATTCCCTCCAAATAATTCAGACATAAGGAACAGCCTCTTTGCTTATTATGTAATCATAACCTTAATATTTTAAATACATTGCACGGCACACTATGTCTGTACTAAGTTTCTCCTTCCCTCATAACCAAGGCCCCAAAACCACGCCAAACACTAAAAAATAAAGAATAGGGTTCCTAGGGGACTAACTTTGCCTGGACAGACTTTTCTTGGGGTGGAATGCACTGAAAAAAAATTTTTTTAAGGGAAAATTTGGACACCCTTTTCCCAGAGGGCCCGCAAGATCTTAATGTAAGCGCCCGCGCAGAAACCAGGTCCCCGCTCACAAAGAGACACCCGGCACGACCTGCGGCAGGGCCCGGCCAAGGAGCTCCACTCTCGCAGCTGCCGGGCTCCGGCCAGACGGCTGGTCCCCACAGAGGCGCGGAGACCCAAACGAGGGATCTCGGTGGGACTCACACCTGCACAACCCACGGGTCCTCGCACGGCTCCACGCGTCTTCCGCTCCGCCCAGGACCGCTGCGCGCGCCCGTCCCTAGTCCCGCCAGGCGCGGCGGAGCGCTTTCCGGGCGACACCGGAGGGAGGAGCCCAGCCGTTGCTAAGGCCGTTGCTAGGGCCCGGCTCAGCGCGGGCCCCTCTGGCAAAGGTAACGGGCGGGGAGGGCCGCGGTAAGGGGTTAGACCGAAAGTCCCTCCTCAGCGTCTCCAGTGGTCGGTGGTGTTGCCCTTTTCCGGAGAGACGGGATGGAAGACCAGGACCCTGCTCTGTGAGACTGACCCGGACCACTAAAGTGGGACGCGGTTCTCGAAACAAACTGTCAAGGTGCAGTTGCAGTGAGTTGTGAAAAATGCGGTTCCTACAGAACACTTCCCCATTTACCAATTCCCAAAATATTTTAGTCGTGAGAACTTTGTTCTATAACGTTTTTTAAGGCTATGTCAGGAGAAGTATTTCGTGTGCTGCATAGTAATGAAAGCTGTTAGAAAAATTATATGTTGATAATTTGGTTTGCTTTAAAACTACACACTCGTGTAGAGATGGGACTGCTTTGTGCACTTTTCCAGTTTGAAATTCAGTGTAATTTGTGGGTGGATTATTAAACCTTTTTTCCTTGCCCCACCTCAAAGAAAATCCAAATAGAAGGAATGCATGTTGACAATTGTGAGATTTAGAAACACAGTGACCGGATATTGAGCAATGGATTTATTGAATACTCTGAATTTAACAAGTGAGAGATAAAAGACAGAACCTTACCCTAGAGGACCTTACGTATCAAGTTAAGAGTGGGTAGTACAGAAAATACAATATGACTAATAAATTATAGGAATTTCAAAAGAGCTCAGAGTCGTCAATGAAGTTTTATTGGCTGAAGTTGAGTAAAGCCTTGAAGAATGATTATGGTTTAGGGCAGTGTTATTCAAAGGGATGGTGTGGTCCATCCATTGGTGGAGGTCCTATTTGTAAGCAAGGAAATCTATTTAGTCACAACTACACTTTTTAAAAAATGAAATGGTCTAGTGTGGAAATACCAGTGCATGGCACTTGGTAAAGTTACGTTTTGCTTTATGGAGTTTTAAATTATGTATGTATGCATGTATGTGTGCATTAGGTCACGTTTATAAAATGGATTTCTCACTGTGTGTTTCTCTTAAAAAGTTTGAAAGGCACTGCTTTAGGGGGAAAGAAGAGTAGCAATAGCAAAGTCTCCAAGCCAATAATAAATAATTCACACCTTTATCTTTTTAAACTAATTTAGTTCAAGCACACAGATTAAAAAGCAAATGATTCTGTTTATTAATCGGAGTGAGTATTGGGTTACTATTGCTATGTGATAAATTACTCCAAAATATGGTGGCTTAAAACAACCATTTTATTATGTTCATGAATTTTGTGTTCAGTAGAACATAGAGGGACAGCTTTTCTTCTGATAACTCAGCTGTGAAGACTGAATGCTAGCAGAGCTCCTGTGTGTAGCCTCCCCATGTGGCCTGGGCTTCCCCACAGTATGGCAGTGGGGTAACCAAACTTCTTAGCCTAGGACCAGTGCTCCAAAGTCAAATGTTGCAATGAACAAGGCAGAAACTACATGTTCTTTTCTAACCTAGTCCCCAAAAGTAACACAGCATTACTTCTCTCACATTCGTTTTATTATAAATGAGTTTCAAGACATGTCTAGATTTTAGGTGAGGGGACGTAGATGCCACTTCTCAAAAGATTGTCAAGGAATTTGTGGCTGTTTTTTTAAAAACCAACACACTGAATTTACAGCTGTCACAGAAAACCCCAAAATTTCAGTGGTTTCATACAATAAATTGTTATTTCTCACAAGAAATCCATTGTGGCTATTACTAGTCAGATGAAATGTTAAACTTAAGAAAGTAGGTTTCTTTTTATTTTTAGTGGTTGTGCTGTCTCCTACAACTTGGAGCCACAGCTAACCTGTCAAGAAAGAAAGCATGGTGAATCACACAAAAATTTTAGAGGTCAGCCCTAAAAATGGTGTATGTCACTTTGCCCACATTTCATTGGCCAGAATTTAATCCAAGTTCCCCTCTAACTGCAAGGGAGCCGCAGAAATGTAGAGAAACATACAGGTATTGGTGAGCAGTAACAGTTTGCCACATTCTAAGTTTTTAACCAACACCCTGTAGTCCCCAACCCCTCCTCTTATCTCAATTCTTTTCTTCAAAGGAAAATTCTTTCAAGTATTTTAGATACTTCTGTTATTTACTCCATATGTCAAAATATACTGCAATTTCTTGATTTTTCACTTTCTGAGAGAAGGCAGTGATAAAGCTGTTTTATAACACCACGCCCAAGTGTGTGAACATTCCTTCTCTCCCTACCCCTACACACTCTTATCTCCTCATCTCTTAATACTGTAGTATCAAAGTTTTTGTTTAAATTAACATTTGTAAATATTATTCAAGCGTGAGCCACATATGATCACATTAACATTTTTTTGGCAGTCTTTTTTTTCCTTAACATATTTATTGGAGTATAATTGCTTTACAATGGTGTGTTAGTTTCTGCATTATAACACAGTGAATCAGCTATACATATACATATATCCCCATATCTCCTCCCCCTCACATCTCCTTCCCACCCTCCCAATTCCACCCCTCTAGGTGGTGACAAAGCACCGACTGATCTCCCTGTGCTATGTGCCTGCTTCCCACTAGCTATCTATTTTATATTTGGTAGCGTATATATGTCCATGCCACTCTCTCATTTCATCCCAGCTTACCCTTCCCCCTCCCCATGTCCTCAAGTCCATTCTCTACATCCGTGTCTTTATTTCTGTCCTGTCCCGAGGTCCTTCAGAACCATTTTTTTTTTTTTTTAGATTCCATATATATGTGTTAGCATACGGTATTTGTTTTTCTAACTTACTTCACTCTGTATGACAGACTCTAGGTCCATCCACCTCACTATGAATAACTCAATTTCATTTCTTTTTATGGCTGAGTAATATTCCATTGTATATATGTGCCACATCTACTTTACCTATTCACCTGTCAATGGACACTTAGGTGGCTTCCATGTCCTGGCTATTGTAAATAGAACTTCAATGAACAATGTGGTATGTGACTCTTTTTCAATTATGGTTTTCTGAGGGTATATGCCCAGTAGTGGGATTGCTGAGTCATATGGTAGCTCTATTTTTAGTTTTATAAGAACCTCCATACTGTTCTCCATAGTGGCTGTATCAATTTACATTCCCACCAACAGTGCAAGAAGGTTCCCTTTTCTCCACACCCTCTCCAGTATTTATTGTTTGTAGATTTATTGATGATGGCCATTCTGACTGGTGTGAGGTGATACCTCATTTTAGTTTTGATTTTCATTTCTCTAATGACTGGTGATGTTGAGCATCCTTTCATGTGTTTGTTGGGAATCTGTATATCTTCTTTGGAGAAATGTCTATTTAGGTCTTCTGCCCATTTTGGGATTAGGTTTTTTGGTTTTTTGGTATTGAGCTGCATGAGCTGCTTGTAAATTTTGGAGATTAATCCTTTGTCAGTTGCTTCATTTGCAAATATTTTCTCCCATTCTGAGGGTTGTCTTTTGGTCTTGTTTATGGTTTCCTTTGCTGTGCAAAAGCTCTTAAGTTTCATCAGGTACCATTTGTTTATTTTTGTTTTTATTTCCATTTCTCTAGGACGTGGGTCAAAAAGGATCTTGCTGTGATTTATGTCATAGAGTTTTCTGCCTGTGTTTTCCTCTAAGAGTTTTATAGTGTCTGGCCTTACATTTAGGTCTTTAATCCATTTTGAGTTTATTTTTGTGTATGGTGTTAGAGAGTGTTCTAATTTCATTCTTTTACATGCAGCTGTCCAGTTTTCCCAGCACCACTTATTGAAGAGGCTGTCTTTACTCCATTGTATATTCTTGCCTCCTTTATCAAAAATAAGGTGACTATATGTGTGTGGGTTTAACTCTGGGCTTTCTATCCTATTCCATTGGTCTATATTTCTGTTTTTGTGCCAGTACCATACTATCTTGATTACTGTAGCTTTGTAGTATAGTCTGAAGTCAGGGAACCTGATTCCTCCAGCTTCGTTTTTCTTTCTCAGGATTGCTTTGGCTATTTGGGGTCTTTTGTGTTTCCATACAAATTGTGAAATTTTTCGTTCTAGTTCTGTGAAAAATGCCATTGGTAGTTTGATAGGGATTGCATTGAATCTGCAGATTGCTTTGGGTAGTATACTCATTTTCACAATATTGATTCTTCCAATCCAAGAACATGGTATACCTCTCCATCTGTTTGTATCATCTTTAAATCCTTACATCAGTGTCTTATAGTTTTCTGCATACAAGTCTTTTGTCTCCTTAGGTCAGTTTATACCTAGGTATTTTATTCTTTTTGTTGCAATGGTAAATGACAGTGTTTCCTTAATTTCTCTTTCAGATTTTTCATCATTAGTGTATAGGAATTCCTGTGCATTAATTTTGTATCCTCCTACTTTACCAAATTCATTGACTAGCTCTACTAGTCTTATGGTAGCATCTTTAGGATTCTCTATGTATAGTATCATGTCATCTGCAAACAGTGACAGCTTTACTTCTTCTTTTCCGATTTGGATTCCTTTTATTTCCTTTTCTTCTCTGATTTCTGTAGCAAAACTTCCAAAACTATGTTGAATAATACTGGTGAGAGTGGACAGCCTTGTCTCGTTCCTGAACTTAGAGGAAATGGCTTAAGTTTTTCACCATTGAGAATAATGTTGGCTGTGGGTTTGTCATATATGGCCTTTATTATGTTGAGGTAAGCTCCCTCTGGGCCTGCTTTCTGTAGGGTTTTTATCATAAATGGGTGTTGAATTTTATCAAAAGCTTTTTCTGTATCTATTGAGATGATCATATGGTTTTTCTTCTTCAGTTTGTTAATATGGAGTATCACATTGATTGATCTGCATATATTGAAGAATCCTTGCATTCCAGGGAAAAAC